TCATTAGTTTTTTAAGACTGAGACTTTCAGAAATGCTATCCTACATGTAGAATATTGAACTTTCTCCCCTGTTTTCTTTAGTTCTTTGACATGTTTATTGTTATAGAAATATTGTCAGACCAATGGGAAGAGAATTGGGACAAAAGTCCACTTGTGTGCCGCTGCAGGTGTAGTGGCTCATGCCTGTATCCTAGCACTCAGGAGGCTGAGACAGGAGTATTGCTGTGAGTTCAAGGCCAGCCTGGACTACATCGTGAGACCTTGTCTCCAAAAAAAAAAGTTCACTTGCTGCCTGACTTCTGTAATCCAAGGAACAAAAGGATACCATGATGGCACTGCCAGTCTCCTGGTTGCAGGCGAGCTAAGAGCCATATGAAGCAATCCCTTCAGATCCTGAGTAGTCTTTGTGTCCTGTGCACTAAGTTTACCTGGCTGAGTGGCTGCTGAGCCCCTATGGGAGGACTTGAGGACTCTTTCCATATATACTTGGGATGGGGTCTCTCAGGGCCCAGCCCCTCTCCAGTCAGCGGACCCTGCGTCTGAAAATTTAGGTCAGAAAATGACAAGCGACTGACATTTTCCACTTCAGTGAGCACCAGTCTTTTGTCTCTCAGCTGTAGATTTAAAACATATATATATATAAATCAGCTGGGCGTGGTGGTGCATGCCTATAATCTCAGTTCTTGGGAAGCTGAGACAGGAGAATCACTGCAGGTTTGAGGCCAGCTGGGACTACATAGTAAGTTCAAGGGCAGCCTGCACTACATAATGAGGCCCTGTCTCAAAAACAAAAACACAAAAACAAAAAAATCGATCATTCCCTTCATGGGGTGTCCATCCACCTTGACTAGCAAGGCCACAGAGTGGCCAAGGCACCCTAGTTTATCTACCTGGCCTCTGCCAGGCCTCTGCTGTTCCAGATCCCAAACCCGCTTTTACCTGATAGTCCAGCTCCGTGCAGCATCCACTCCTGCCAGCCCACAGTGCATCTCAGGGATGCCACGCTTCCTATACTGTACCTGGGCTGCTGGTGTCTGCAGAAGGCAGGCTTCGGGCCTTGTCCAGTGCATCTGCGGTCCCCTTGCTGTCCCCACTTGGCCCTGTGCACACTGCCTCACAAAGTGCCAAGAAACAGTGGCATCTCCACCCCACCGGCATGTGCAAGGGCCACACCAAGGTTCTGTGTTTCAAGGGGCTCAAGGTGCCAGGTTTTCAGGCTCATCTGCCTAGTGCCCCAACCCCAAGCTGCTCTTCTCTGGCAGCTCTGTCACACTTACAGCCAGGTGCTGAGCCTAATGTTTAGCAGTTGGCCCTAAAGCTTCGAGTCACGACAGTTTCCTTAGAAACTACTATTTTAAGATGGCTGTGGTAGTGCAGGCCTATAATCCCAGCATTCTGGAAGGCTGAGGCAGGAAGATCACAAGTTCAAACCCAGCCTGGGCAGTTTAGTGACTTGGTGAGACCCTGTCCCAAAGTAAAAAAGAAAAAGATCTGGGGATATAGCTCAGTGCAAAGGTACTGGGTTTGATCCTCAGTACTGCAAAAAGAAATTTTTTTTTTGCCATTTTAGAGCCTCCCGTGGCTTTCACACATCTAGTATTGGCCCTTAGCTACCCTGAACCTGCCATCATCTTTTTTGGTTTTTGGTTTTTGAGACAGAGTCTCACCATGTAGCCCAGGCTGGCCTGAAACTCACAGTGATCCTCCTCCCTCAGCCTCCCTAGGACTGGGATTACAGGGGTGCACCACATGCCCAGCCCATCATCATCTTTTTTTTGAGATTCACTGCTGTTAATAAAAGATGGCTTCTTTTTCGAGCCCAATTCTACCGTCCCCCAACTAACCACAGGTGAAAACCTGAACCATTTTCCTGTTACTTCATGCCAAGGGCTGTCACAACCACTCACCATGAACAGTGGTGTCCCTAGTGCCACGAGGACAGGAAGTCACCTAATCTCACAGTCCTAGCCTGAGTGTCAGGATGGACAGTGCAGTGGCCACATGGTGAGGTTCTGTGGTCAGTGGAGCTCAGCAAAGAGACAGGGCAGAAGCTGAGGCAGCAGGCCCTGACATGGCATTCAGGGATGTCTGGTCCCAGGCAGATCATAGATTTTCCTTCCAAAGCAGGCTGACTCCATTTGCATTTATTGATGTAATGTGATGGATGGGCTCGCTCCTCCTTCTGGCATCGTATTTTATGTCGTGCTTTCTCTCTTGAGCACTTCCTTTGTTTATATCTTTTGCTCTCTGATGTGTATGGTGCTTTCTTCAGGCTATTTCACTGCATTGGTGGCAATTTAGCATGCTATTTCTTCTGGAGGCACCAGACTTTGTCAGGATGAGACGTGTCAGATATGCTAAGATGTGATCTGATGCATAAAACTGAAGATTACACACACACAAGCGCATTCCTTGTTTGTTTTACTGTTTTTTTTAGAGACAGGGTCTCCCTATGTAGTTCATCCTGGCCTCGAACTCAACTCACCATGTGGCCCATGGTGACAGTTCTCCTGCCTCAGCCTCTGTCTGCTGGGGTTATAAATAGCCATGGCTAGCAGTTTTACTGTTTTATTTGTGGCCTGAACAGGAATCTTGATAACATCTATTTTGCCAGAGAGCGAGAGACAGACAGACAGATAGACAGAGACACAGAGACAGAGAAAGGAGGTTGGTGTTTGTAATTACACGCATTGCTTCAGTGAGAACATTCCTGAGAGATTTCAGTTTTGGCCAGGGTTAATGAGAAACGAATCCTTCACTTAAAATTTTGCCTGTTTGATGACTAGAAGAATTTTCTGCACATTCTCTGTCTCCTTACATTTTACACCTTGGTCCTTCTCCGTGACCTACAAAGTCTCAGTGCCAGGCAATGGAGGGGATATTTCTGTTCCCATAAGATCTCTTTCCTGTCCTTTATGTCACTCACTTTGTCCCGTGCACTAAGTAAAATGTCCCTATGCCAAAACAGCCAGCAGCATCTCACTCATTATAGGCAGAATGGGCTGCAGACTGCACACACCCATTCCACTAACCCAAGCTAAATATGTCCCATGTCAGCTTCCCTCATCCTTGTCCCACTGCTCCTCCCCTGACATAGGCAGAGGAGCACTGTGGGGAAAACGAGATAGGGAAACAAGATAGATCTTAACTGATTCAAGCAAAATTGCCTTATCTATAAAAATCTGACAAAAACATGTGCCGATGAGAACATATTGTAGGATCCACCACCCACTGCCGTCCTCTGGTGGCCCGTGGGACTGAGGAGCCCAAAGCTTAAGGTTTATAGCATTGAAGTCTGCTTCTGCAAATGATAATATTAAAAAAAATTGTAGCCAGGCCTGGTGGCACATGCCCATAATTCCAGCTATTTGGGAGGCTGAGGCAGGATGATTTCAAGTTTGAAGCTGGTCTGGGCTGCATACTAAGACCCTGTCTCAAAATAAGAAATAGAAAGGGCTGGGGATGTAGTTCTATGATAGAGTGCCCCTGGGTTCAGTTCTGAAAAAAAATTTTTTTTAAAGAAAGATAGGTTGGCTGTAGAATTCAAATAGTAAAAGATATGAGTCTAGGATGATTTCAGGGCTGCAGGTGTAGCTCAGTGAGGGAGCATTTGCCTAGCTCTAGGTCCTGGGCTTGAACCCCAGTGCCACAAACAAAACAACCTCCAAGCCCCCTCAAAAACCTTTACTACAGTCCCATCGTGTACATTGTGTTTTATAATTTAATAGAGAGACATTAATAAATGCAAACTAGGTATAAGAAAGTCCTATGATGTTCTGAATTTCCCCTCATGATGACTGGCTTTATTAGGAATTAAATATCAAAAATATTTTTTTCTTAAACCAGGTGTGGTGATGCATGCCTATAATCCCAGCACTCAGGAGGCTGAGGCAGGAGGATCACCTTGAGTTTGAGAGCAGCCTAGGCTACATAGTGAAACCCTGTTTCAAAAAAGAAAAAAAAATTTATTTTTCTTGTTTCAATTCCCTATCTTGCTGGTGCCTGGTCTGCAGGCTATGCTGAGGGTGTCAAGTTGCAGAGCCCCAAAAAGCAGGAGATAAAGGATTCAGAAGCGGTCCTGGCCAGTGGAATCTTCTACAAGGATGAAACTGTTCTGTACCTGCGCCGTCCTCCGAAATGGTGGCCTCCAACCACATGTAGCCTGGAAGCACTTGACATGTGGCGAGTGAGACTTAGGAACTGAATTTTAATTTTATTTCAGTTTAATTAATTAAAAACTATTTTTTTGATGCTGAGGGTCAACCCCAGGGCCTTTGAGCCATGATCCCCAAGGCCATAACCCCAGCCCTCATTAACTAAAACTGAAATAGGCACCAATGCCCAGTGGCCACCATAGAGGGCAGTGTAAACTCCCTTCCCATAAAAACGTTTTAATTTCTTCTACAATCAGAAGAAAAAAATTAGGCTGAAGAAAATGTTTTTAAAATGCAATATTAATACATTTATCTTTATACCAATGCAGCGGTAAAAATATAACCTTAAAAAATTGTTGCCGAGTATGGTGATTTACGCCTATAATCCCAGTACTCTGTAGGCTGAGGCAGGAAGATTGCTGTAAATTCAAGGCCTGCCTGGGCTACATAGCAAGAACCTGTATCAAAACAAAACAAAACTACAAACAAAATCATTAATGGGGGAAGGAGCTGTTGAAAACAAAAAGTGCCAAGGACACAGGACAGCCGCAGTGGTGTGTGCACGTGTATGTGTGTGCATGTGTGTGGGCAAGGGTGTTTCTTCCAACACTGACCGTTCATCCAGACTGCCCGATGTTCATCCCCGCAGAGGGCGCACTTGGCCTCCCCCTGTGAGCCCACCTGGTCCCAAGTCCCGCACAGGGCCCAACTAAAGAAGACTTTCCCCCCAAGCCCAAGTTTGAGGAATGCACCTCCAGTCTGTGACCTGCTTGGGCAAAGGACAGGAGGGGTGTGTGTGTGTGTGTGTGTGTGTGTGTGTGTGTGTGTGTGTGCGCGCGCGCGCCTGGGAGGAGCTGTGTGGGAAGAGGGCAGAGAGCAGATGTGCCGGAGGGGGCGAGCTCACACATCTTTAGACCCTCTTGCCTCGGACTCCATTTTCCAGGGGACAAAGTGGGGGCTCTGCAGGTGGAGGACCCTGCCCGACCTCACACAGCGGGCCTCCGACCCTGCGCATTGCTGACCGCGCACCCCATCAGCCCTATGGGCTGCTCCCACATCCCGTTCCTGCTCCCGGCAAGGTTCCTCCCAGAGCTGACCCTAGGAAGGATCCTCTGGCTCTCCAGGCCTCAATTTCCCCTTTGTGTGTGCACTGGGGCAGGAGTTTCCCTTTAGCTGACCAGGAAGGAGAGGGGGACAGAAGGGCGTGCCGGCTCGGCCCTTCCTACCCAGCCCTGCTCCCCAAGGCCCGGCGCAGGAACGCGGCGCTGGCCCTTTAAGCCCCGCCCGGGAGCGCGGGCCGCGCCATTCCGGGATCGGGATCCCAGGCCGGGAGGATCCGGTCCCCGCGCGTCCCCGCCCGACCTCGGCCCGCGATCCGATCCGGAGAATGAGCCGCATCTACCTGGACGGCGCGCTTGGGAACAAAGCGGTGCGCAGCGCTCGCCTGCCGGGGGCCTGGGACCCGGCCATGCACCAGGGGTAGGTGAGCCGCGCTGAGTCCAGGGTGGGAACAGAGGCTGCCAAAGCCGCCGCTGGGCCTCAGGTCTCTCTTTCTTATGACCCCCATCGGGAGCTGCCAAGGCCGTGCTCAGGGCACAACCAGCTCTTACCACTTGGTGCGCTGCTGTGCCCCAGGGCCTTTGCACAGATCCTGGAGGTGGGCGGTGTGTGTGGAAGATCCCAAGCCACAGGCCCTGCCCAGGGATTTGAGGAGGATGAGACTTTTCCTTTTCCAATCACAAACGCGAAAGAATTAGTAGCTGTAATACTAGCTACTCTGGAGGCTGAGTCAGGAGGACTGAAAATTTCAGCCCGGGCAGGGCAGTTTATCAATTTAGCAAGATCATATCTCAAAGTAAAATAAATAAATAAAAAGGGATGGGAATGCAGCTCAGTGTAAAGGTCTGGGTTCAATCCTCAATATGGAAAATAGAACAAAAAAACACAAAATTATGCTGTGAGAAATAAGCCAGACTCAGAAAGAAATACTGTAGGAGCTCACTTACTTGTAGGATTGAAAACATCCAGCTCACAGAAGCAGAGTGATCTTGGCTCTCAGGAGTGAGAGCTGGGGAAGGAAGGTGACCAAAGAGTACAGACTGAGGTGCGTGCGGCAGGAACGGGTTCTGGTGTCTAATGACACCCTGGGTGGCTGCGGGTGTGTTGAATGGCTTTGTTGTAACAGTCCGCACTCAGTGTGGATGGAGATCAAGTTAGCACGTTGCACCCCTTGAGTGTATACAATCTTTGTCAGATAAATGTTTTTAAAAAGAATTAGGGGAGGGAGTGGATAGAGGCAAGTAAAGTAGGTGAATTTTCACTTCCTGCATCCGGCCTCCTTCGCTGTCACCTTCTGCTGTCCCCACCCCTGTCCCATTTCTGGGGTTCCCAAAAGGAAGCTCTCAGGTTTTGCTTTTATGAAAACTAAAACTGAGAAGTGGGGAGGGGGCTGAGTTTCTCTCAGTGTGGGACCATGTGATCTTCGGCTCCTCGCAAACTTCTGAGTCTCAAGTTCTCCACCTGTAAATGGCAAAAATCATTACCTTGGGTTATGACCTCGTGGTAGGGATGGGAACAGGAATATGAAAATATTTTAAAATAATTGAAAAGGCAAGATAGTTTGTAGCCGCTCAGGTGCCTGCTTCCAACTAGCTTAAATTTTTTTTAAAAAATATTTAATAAGCACTTAATAGCTTACAAAGCACCTTCACATACAGAAGCCTCCACTATCAGAGGAGTGCAATGAGGCAGCTATTTTTCTCTCCACATAGTGGTTAAGAAGACTGGGCCTTCAGTCACAGTGACTTGATGTCCCTGAAAGAGGGGCTATAGCCGGGTCTGATGGCCTGACAGGCTTCCCCCTGTCCTTGGGGCAGTGTCTGGCCTTTGGGACCCTTGGGGAGATGGAGACCTGGTGTGGGAAGCACAGAGAGGTGCCACTCAGTACTGGGCCCGCCGGTGGGTAGGGGCTAGCAGATCTTGGGTGGGACCTGGTCCGTCCCAGTGCAGGCTCTGACCTGGGCCACTGACCTCCAGTGGGGGCTCTGTCCTGTGACCAACGGAACCACCATCCCTCTGTGCTTCTCGTCCCCAGGGGAAAGGGCGTCTTGGTGGAGGGAGAGCTGGTGGATGTATCTCGGCACAGCATCGTGGACGCCCACAGCAGGAAGGTCAGTTTGCAGCCTCGGTAGTGGCACTTGCAGGGCATCCTCACCCACTGGTCTCCCAGCCTCACCCACCAGGCATCACCTTCTGCCAGGTTCTGCCAGTGCCCAGACATGGATCCAGCCCCTCCCGAGGGGCTCACAGCAGGCAGGAAGTGGATCACGACATCAGCAGCCCAACAGGATGAGCAAGTGGAGAGGGGACAGCTAGGGGCCATGCTGGGCAGCAGACATGGGGAGGGCCTGGGTCACAGGTGAGAAGACCCAGCCTGGCCTGAGTGTGCAGCCTGCCCGGGCTGGGCCTTCAGGTCCCGTGTTGATGTCCCTTTTGTCCTGGGGTCACGCTCTTTATTGCAGGTGCCTATGGGCAGGCCTGGCACTCACCATCCTGCAGTGGTGAGCCTGTCCCTCTGAGCACTGATCCTGCACTTCCGCCCCTCTTTCTGGTAGCCCCACCCTATCCTGGTCTCTAAGATTCAGCTCATCAAAATGTCCTCTTGAGGGGGGACAGGGGTCTGGTGCTGCACAGAGCCAAAGTTTCTGTCTTTCAAGCCAAGGGAACAGCATCCCCTCCGGGGTCCCTGTTTTTGAGCCCTGAGGTGCTGTGCTTCACCCTCCCCTCCTTGCACACAAGTTGGCAGGTGGGCTTACCCATCCAGCCTGCCCAGGAGAGCCTGGCAGCAACCCCGTGCTGATGAGGGCCTGGTCAGCCTCAGCTGCCCTTGCACACACAGAGCATTTGCTTAACCCCTCTCCCGACCCCTCTGACCCTTTCTTTCCTGATGACAGTGCAGTAGCCACCCAGCCAGCAGCCTGCAGCCCCACTCCCACTCTGCCCCAGGTGAGCAGTACCAGGTGGGTCCTGATAAAACCCTGCCTGTCTCTCCTGCCCACAGCCGCCCTCAGAGCTCATCCCAGGCCTGGGCTTGCTTGGTTGCAGAAAAACATCACTGAGGTTCTCACTGTTGTCCCCAGGCCTTTCAGGATTCCTTCTTGCCCACCAGATGAGCCCAAGCTCTGGATGCCAGCTCAGCATTCCACCTTCCTTTCCAACCCGGGCTCCTATGAAGCTGCCCAGTGCCCTGAGTGGCTCCCACTTGCACACAGTCTGTGGACCCGTACCCAGCTTTTCTGAGTCCTCCTACACTTTGTTCCCACACTTGTGGATCTCTCAGCCCTTTGGTACTTCACCTTCCTTGTTCCCAGGGAAGTGGTCACCATTCCTTCAGGCCCTGGGAACAGCTCTTCCGCCCACTTTGATCAGAACAGCCTGCAGCAGTGCTTAGAGACACTTTCACTTCCTGTTTCACACAGTGCCCCATCCCCATCATGGGCCTGGACCTACAACATTCCCAAAAGGAGGATCACCTTGTTCCCGGGCGCCAAGGGACACTGTTGCTCAGGAGGCTGGGAATGATTTGTACATGGCTCCATCAGTACCTTTCCCGTGGCACCTTCGCAGTGCCCACTGTCTCTGGCAGTGTGGGAGCTCTCCCCGGTCATGGACTCCCGGCATGCAAAGGAGCTCTGGGTGCAGCAAGTGTGTTGGGTGCTCCAGTGAACACAGGAATGAATGTGTGTGTGAATGGGGGCATCTGCACCTTTGGAGCCAAGGTGGGATTCTGGGCAGGGTGTGAGGCTGTGAGAGCTGCAGCCAGAGCCACTGTGGGTGTGCATGTGCGTGTGCATGTGTGTCGGGGCCAGGTGGGGGTGAAGCAGCCCCTCACCCTGTCTCTGCCTGCCCAGGAGCGCTACTATGTCCTGTATATCCGGCCTGGCCGCATCCACCACCGAAGATTTGACCCCCAGGGGAAAGAAATCGAGCCCAATTTCAGCACCACCAGGAAGGTGAACACTGGCTTCCTCATGTCATCCTACAGTAGGTACCTGTGGCCCTTCCTCCCTCGGCCTCCAGGCCCACAGAAAGTGGCTTCTCTGCATGGTTGGCCTTGATACTGATGTCTGAGCTCCTTCCTGCTCCACAATTGCCCAGAGGACCCTCATGTCCCACCTTGGCCCCAAGGGTTGGCCTTGCATTCCCGAATCCTGTGATTTTCTGCAGTCTAGTGGAATCCTCCCCAGACTTGGCTTTGGGCTTTTGTTTTTTGAGACAAGTATTGCTATGTAGTTCACCCTGCCCTTGAACTCAGTGTAGCCCAAGCTGGCCTCTGAATTTGCGGCGATCCTCCTGCCTCAGCCTCCTGAGTGCTGGGATTACAGGCATGCCCTACCATGCCAGGTTGACTTTGGACATTAACTTCTTTTGTGCAGGGTGCAGGCACACTGTCACATTGGTGATTAAGTTGGAGCACATGCAGAGCATAGCAGGCCCTGTACTCCTCATTCCTCTTCCCAGTTTGGCTGCAAAGCAGCCTCTGTATTGTCAGCCCTGGGTGTGAAGGGTTAGGGCTGAGTGGGAAGCTGTTCTTTATTCAGTCATGCTTTCAGCTGCTCACTTACTCCCTGAACCCTCAGCGAGCCTGGGTTGTAGGCCAGTGCCTGTGCTGAGGATCCACGGATGAACAGGATGGGTCCTGCACTGGACATGTTCTCCACTGGTAGAGGAGGGGACATGCCTGGGACTGCAGCTTTTGGGGCTCTGCACCCAGGCAGTCATAGCCCTAGGGTGCCCTAGAGGAGGGAGCATGGCACTCAGTCCTGAGATGGAAGCTTGGACCCGCTGGGTGCCAGAGCTGGGAAGCATGTGCCAAGGACATAAGCACAGGTCCAGGTGACAGGAAACTACAGGGCAGGTGGGGCAGGGTCATTTAGCAGGGCTTCAGTGCATGAGGAGCAGGTTTGGGGAGAAGAGCTGTTTAGGACATGCTGACTTAGAGTCACCCGTGGTCTTTCCACTGGGTGACCTGGAGGCAAAGTTCTGGAACTTGAGAGGACTGGCAGGACAGTTTGGGTCAGCAGCAGCAGAGGGGTAAGGTACGGAAGTGGGGGGGGGTCACCTGGCAGAGAAGTGGCCCAAGGGGTGGACAGGGTGCAGAGTGTGGTAAGGATCTGGAGAGGGAGCCACTGCAGAGGTCTGAAGGAGGAGGAACGTGCCTGAGGCAGCAGGAGTGAGGAGCAGGCACCGCCCATGGCTCAGAAAGCCGAGGAGTGTGAACATCAGAGGGTCTTGGTGACCAGCTGCCTGGGGACACTGGTGGGAGTGGCAGGAGGCCATGGGTGCGAAAGCCAGAATGCAGGAAGGAGTGGAGGGAAAGCTCAGAAATGGGGAGCAAGAGACTTATTCATGAGCAGGGCCACGAGTGCACATATGTACACATATGTTTGTGAGTAGTGTCCTGGAGCCCCGATGGAGGAACCTGAAGCAGGAGGAGGGACCTCTTGTCTTTTGAGGGAGGGGGTGCTTCATGAAGGCAAAGTCAGCTGACAGGTGGGTGGTGTCAGAAGGCGGCTTATTTTCTGGCTCAGTAGGTGAGAGGGCTTGCTTGCCTTGGTGGGGCAGAGGGTGGAGAAGGAGCAGTTTGGAAGTCCCATGTGAACAGGTGCCTGGGCAGCCCAGAGGGTGTCCCTGACTGTGTGGGCCTGGCTAGGTGGAAGGTGGCTGGTGTTCTGGGTGGCAGGGCCTCCTAGGCAGGGCCTGGCTGACTGGGGGTTGGGGGGAGAAAGCAGCTATGGGGCAAGCTCTGGTGTCACTGAGCTGGGAGTGGCCGTGCACACCTTCCTGCAGGTCCTTGTGAGGCCCCCATGAGTCTGGGCTCCACTTCTCAGCCTGGGAGTGCCCCGCCCCCACCCTAGCATCTGCAGGTGAAGAACTTGGTTTGGTCCCTGAGCCAGGAACTCTGCCGGGGCCAGGATGGGCAGGCTACCGGGGGGTGTGGGGTCCACAACTTCACTCCTGGTTCCAGCAGAACCCACTCCAGTCAAGGAGATGCTGAGAGCCTTGAGAGACCCTGCCTGGCCCAGGGGTCTCCCTGGTGGTTGGTTGTTTGAATCTTGCCTTCTCTTTTGCTGTGTGACTTTGAGCCAGTTACTTAGCCCCTGTCCGCCTTGGCTTTCTCATCTGTAAAATGGGAACAATAAAAACATGTCAGTTCTCATGGAGGGTTTACTGTGTACCAGAGACTGCTGAGTGCTTTTATACTTTTTTCATTGAAACCTCTGCTGTGGATGTCCTTGAGAGCTCTGTGGAACAGGTACCAAGTCCTGCCTTATATGTGGCCATGAGCATGTGACACTCAGCCCTCCCCGGCTCCTATAGTGCCCTGGGAAAGTGCTTGCTGTCCCAGCAGATACGGTTGCATGCTGTGTCTGCAGAGGTGGAAGCCAAGGGGGACACTGACCTGCTCACACCTGAGGCACTGAAGAGGCTGGTGAATAAGCCCGAGCTGCTACCGCTGACTGAGAGCCTCACACCCGACCAGACGGTGGCCTTCTGGATGCCCGAGGCAGAGATGGAGGCAATGGAGCTTGAGCTGGGAGCCGGGGTGCGGCTGAAAACACGGGGTGATGGCCCCTTCCTAGGTGAGCAGTGTGGCCTCACGCCGGCCTGATGCTCCCCTCTGCCCTTGTGCTTAGCCTCCCATGGAACCAGACGGCCCCCCTTGAGATTTAGTCCCAAGTCCCTGGACAAGCACCCTGGGGACATTAACCTGGACACACTAGGGTGCCATGCATCCCCCGGTTCTTGTGGATGACCCTGCTATCTAGTGTCTTGGAGGCCCCCCTACAGCCTCACTGACCATACCTTGGCCTAGGAGACCTCACCAGAATAGACTCAGCCTCCACTATTCTGCCACAGGGAGAGGGGACATTTATCTTTCTTTCAGATTCATTAGCCAAACTGGAGGCTGGAACCGTGACCAAGTGTAATTTTGCTGGTGACAGAAAGACAGGGGCATCCTGGACAGACAACATCATGGCCCAAAAGTCTTCACAGGGGGCTGCAGTGGAGATCCGAGAGCAAGGAGATGGGGCAGAGGACGAGGAGTGGGTATGTAAAGGAGAGGGGACCCTTGTGTATCTGGCCAGGGCTCTGTGGTGGTTGTACCTCGTGGCAGGAATTTTGTACATAGTGGTTGTGTTTGGGGATAGAATGAGGGATGGTCCCCCATTTCATCTGAAGCCTATTCGTGGCAATTTTTCTGAAGAATATTTCACACAAAGATTTGAATTGATGTCCAGAGGCCCCAGTGGAACATTTAGAGCATAGAAGTCACAGAAAATGGGCTCTTCATCTTGGTGATTCAGATGATGACTTTGGCCAGAGAAAGCAGGGGCAGGAAGTGAGGAGCGCATGGGCTCCCTCTGACAAGCTGAGGAGCTGCCAAGCTGGCTCAAGCCCAGCTGTAATGCCATGAGGCCAGAACAGGTGCCCAGGGCCCTAAGAGTACCATGTGATTGAACCCATGTATCCGATGACACAGAAGATCTCTATGCAATGTGCTGTGTTCCCCTCTTCACTCTGCCCCTTTGCATTTCTCCAGGATGACTGACTTCGTGGGCGACTGACTTCGTGGGCCATGCATGCCTCTGGGCTGCTGCATTTTCTATGGCACCCTTGAGAATTTCTCCCACAAACTTCTGCCCTGGAGCTGGCCAGCAAGCCTTACCTGGTTCTTCCTACGGCTGTCTCTGAAAAACCTTTTAAATGAGCTTGGCTGAAATCAAATCCAAGACCATGACACTGGCCAAGGGACCCTGGGCTATGGCTCGTAGGGCAGGGAAATCCTCTTTGGATGCAAGTCTTAGCCTCTTGGATATTTCCCCTTGGCAGCAGCCTTGTTTCAGGACAGTCAGAGAGGCGCTGGACTTGGTGCAGATTTGGGGGTACCCCTGTCTAAATGCAGAGGTTCTAAGGGAAATTAGCGGACCCTCTCTTGCTCTTCTTGCTCTTCCCTGCTCACCCTGCCCCAGGCCTTTCCTAGCACTGTGCTACAGCCTTTGCTGTCCTGCTTCAGCCTCCCCTTTTCCTCCCCACCCCATGCCTGAGGTGCCAGGGTTTTTGTGGATTTTTTGTACCAGAGATTGAAATCCGGACCTCGAGCTTGCAAGGCAGGTGTCGGAACCACTGAGCTAAATCCCGGGCCCTGAGGCGCCAGGTCTTTATTCCACTGATCCATGTGCTGCTGGGGTTCCTGTCCTCTCACCTCGCAGGCTATTGACCTGGTGCAGCTGGCTGGTCAGGGCCTTCAGATTCCCTCTGCCTGTCCATGTTTGTTAATTTTTTCAGTGCTGGAGATGGAGCCCAGGGCCAAATGCACACTCAATAGGGGCTCTATCCACTGACCTATGTCCCTAGCCCTGGGCCACAGTTTTGTTATCACCTCTATTGTTGTTTTGTACTTTGAGAACTTTTTTTTTTTTTACTTTGAGAACTTTTTATGAATGAGTAAATCTTCAAGAGAGAATTCCCCCACAGAGACTGGGTGCTTGTCAGGTGTTAGCAATTCCCTTTTCCTGGGAATCGCACCTAGAGGAGGGAGGCCATTTGGCCTTGGCTGTGAACACTGCCTTGCTTGGGTGCGGGCCCACACCTGAATCTTGGTGCTTCCCAGAGTCTCCATGTCCTAGGTTGAAATCTCCACGTCCATGGCTTGTGGATTGTAGGGAACAGGGAAAGGGGACGTTACTAGAACCTCTGCAGTAAGTCCCAGTCTCCTGCAAGCCATGGCAGCACAAGGTGAATTACAGGAAAGGTAGAAAAATGAGACTGAGAAGAAGCTGAGCTTTGGGTCTGATCAGTGCTGCTCTGGGGGGCAAAGACAACCCCCCCCCCCTTACTGCACCTTTTATTCAGTCCGGGGGGGGGGCGGCGGCGTGCAAATGTAACAAATGACTTGCGGAGAGTTCAGTACATCCTGCCTAAATAAGATGTAACAATCCAAGAACAACGAGGAACTGAGTAGATGTTTTTTCCTCCCAGGATGTTTTCAGCTGGTGTAATCTTGTCCTAGAGAATCACAGCATCACCAGATCATTGAGGTCTCAGTTGTGACCAGAGGCTAAAAGGGAACTATGTCTGGGAATTCCATAGCTGGGCTGTAGGCAGAACTAGGCTAACCAAATGATTTTTCCCTAAAATTATGCAGCATTGCTCCCGACAGTGGATCCTGCCTGACCTGGGGAAAAGGGGAGGTGATAGTGAACTAGTAATTGCTGAGTCGCCCTCTTGTGTCTAACACAGTGCCAGCTGCTTTCTAGGATTAGCACAGCCTCTGACAACTGAGTTCTTCCTGGTGCAGTCCTTGTGCTAAGTACTTCATTCACTATCTTTCTTAAGTGTCACAACAGTCCTATCACGTACCTGCGATTATTACCTGTTTTTCCAGGTGAATGTGAAGATCCAGGCTCCACAAATAGTCCATACTAGAGAGGAATCTAAGCCCACACGGATTTCAAAGTCCACATTCTTTATTACTGGACTATTCTGTTTCCATGTGCACATTAACAGAGGAGAGGGCCAGGGATTTACCTCAGTGGTTCTGCCACCTGCCTTGCAAGCGCAAGGTCCCAAGTTAGATCCCACAGAAAAAGGGGCTCAGAGAGGTTAAGCAACCTACCCGATGGCAGAACCAGGACTCAGATCCAGAGCTGTCAAAGCCACAACTTATGCGCCTTCTATTGTCCTCTGCTTCCTTTGCCTACGGTCTCAGAGGAGCCAAAGGATGTGGGAGCCACTTCACTGGTGTCCTGTATCTGAAAGGGGGTGACTTACAGGCAGCTCATGCTGGGAACTCGGCCTTGGGATGGTCAGGGAGACAGGTGAACAGGAGGGGACCTGGAGACTTTGATTTGGGGTAGAGGCCCCCAGAGGGGCCATCCTGCTGCCCAAATACTGAGGTCAAGGGGTATGGCAAACTCAGGAGCAGGCCACCATTCCAAACAAGGAGGCCCAGGGTATTAGTGGGGGGCGTTAAAAAGGGATTGGGGTCTTAGGCTTCAGGAAGGGAACAGCCATTGCAGCTGGAGCTTGGAGGGTGGGGATTGTGTTTGAGAGGAGGCTGGCCGTCGGGCATGGCATCTTCAGGGCTGATAAGGCTTTGGGGACTTTGGCCTGACCACCTGGAAGCTAGTGGGCCTGTGGGGAGGGCAAGGTCTGATTTGCCTCTTTCAGAGCTCACTGGACACCAGAGAAAGGGGAGGCGATGAGCTCATTGAGAAGCCACTGCGTCTGTCTAGGGGATGGGCAACAGCAACGACAGGGAAGATGGGAAGCAGAAAACAGGAGAATGAACAGGAGGCAGGGAGAGAGGAATGGGTCAAGAATGCCATCCAGATTCGGTGACAGAAGGGGCCGCAGTGGGAAGGTTCTGGGTGACCAGCCCATTTTGCAGAAGCCCAGCCTAACCCAGAAGTGGAGGGAGCTAAAACCAGCCACTTGGGGAAGGGAAATCCAAGTGGACTGAGGATAAGAGCAGGGCTCCAGGCTAGCAGGTAGGGAAACTGAGGTAAGATCCTCTTCCCCAGGATAAGGACAAGAGAGTATGGGAAGCTGTTACAGCTCAGAGGTGGTGTGGGGACTCAGGACTCATCCTGGCACTGTGGATAGGAAAACAAGGCCCATAATTTTATTCAGTCATATTCATAATTTTTGGTATTCTGGTTTTTAAATATGCCTACACATAAAATTGGATATTACTTTTTCCATTAATATTAATCACTTCATATTGCTGTAGTCTTCATAACCATCTTTGTGTGTGTGTGTGTGTGTGTGTGTGTGTGTGTGTGTGTGTGTGGTATTGGGAATGGGACCCAGGGCTTTGTGCAGGCGAGACAAATGCTCTAACACTGAGCTACAGCCCCAGACTCTTTATTTCTCGTTTTGATTCAGGGTTGTGCTAAATTGCCCAGGATGCTCTAGAACTTGGGAAGAACTCCTAGAACTCCTGCCTCAATCTCTTGGGATTTATAGGCATCCACCACCACGAATGGACTTATAACCATCATTTTTTTAAAAAAGGATGTTTGCTTATGAATTTCGAACTTTATTTTTTTCCTTTTTTATTAGTGCCTGTTTGCAGCACATACTGTTTACAGTCCTTGCATACATCATTCCTTTCTTCATGTCTGTCCCTGTCCTCCCTCCTGCTACCTTAATCTCTTTTTTTTTTGGTACCGGCGATCGAACTCGGGACCTTGCGCTTGCAAGGCAGGCACCGGAACCACTGAGCTAAATCCTTGGCCCTCCCTTCATCTCTTGATCCCTATCGCCTCTGAGAAAGAGCTGTCTCCCTGCTTACTATTATCTATCTATCATTTTTAAGATGAATTACTGTTGAATAGTTCTATTGTGGTCCAATATTTGGGTATTTAAATTGATATAATTGTTTCAAAAAATGCTGAAAATGCTTCGGTCTCTTCAACCTGCTTCTCCCCAACCTCACATTGTATTTTTCCACTATTTAGGAACAGATTCTCAGGAGTCAGATTACTGGAATGTGGAAATGTTTTGTAAAATTCTTGTTGTAGTATGTACATGTAACCGCTCCCCAAGATGATTATAAACCTCATGAACTGCAAAAATATACTAATAAAATTAAAAATAAAAGAAATTTCTTGTTTTATTGCCAAATAGCTTCCCCAAAGGGTGTTCTAAGTTGTAATTTCACCAGCAATGTATGAGAGAACCATTTTAATGCCACTTTTGCTGGAATTAGATATCAAATCATTTAAAAATTATATTTGATAAGGTGAAAGTAATAAGGTAATATATTTAAATTTGCTTTTCCCCCAATTTAGAGTGAACTTTTCATTTCTGCTGTTTCTTCTTTTGTTACTCCTCTGAATGTTTATCTACTGGGGGGATCTAAATTTTTGGTTTATTAGTTATATTACAATATGACTATTTGCCATATTTTAACTTTTCATTAAAATTTTTTACACACAAAATTAAAACTTTATATAGATACAGCTGTTATATGCTTTTTTATTGCTTCCAAGATAATACATATTCTCTTCAGATATTCAATTTCATTTTCTTCTTTTGTTAGTATTCAGTTTTATACTTAACTCTTTATTCTACTTGCCCTTTTATGGGAAAGTATAGAGTGAGATAACAACTGCTTTTTTTTTTTTTGGTACCAGGGATCAAACTCAGGACCTTGTGCTTGTGAGGCAGGCACTGGAACCACTGAGCTAAATCCCTGGCCCCACAACTGCTTTTTTTTTTTTTTTTTGGTACCGGGGATGGAACTCCGGTCCTTAGCTTTTGAGGCAGGTGGCAGAACCACTGAGCTAAATCCCGGGCCTTATTCTTTTTTTTTTCACAACTGCTTATTTTTAAAAATAAATTTTATTTAATTTTTTCCCATCCCTCCCCCAATCTCCCTCCCCTCACTATGTGCAAAAGCGTTGTTTCCATTGCTTATTTTCAAATTGCTAACCAGTTATCTTAACAGTATTTACCTAATTCCTTCCCATTGTCAAATTATGATGTCTCCATCACATATTAAAATTATTTTGTCTAAATTATTATATTTGGTAAGTCTCCCTTTAGTTACAATTCAAACCATTGAAATGAATAAAAAATTTTAGAAACAATAAAAACAATTCAAACCATTGTAGATTTAATTAGTTGGTGAAGCTAGTTTCTTGTCATTGTTTTAGAATTTTCTTTGGTATTCCTCCACATTTGAACATTTTTTTTTCAATTTTCAGGGCAACTACCTTTTAGATTTTTATTTATTAAAAAACTCTAGCGACAAAAGCAATATATTTATTGGAGAAAAAAAATCTATAATTCCATCCTGCAAAGAAGCTTTAAAATCACTTATGTGGCACTCAATTATGTGCCTGGCACTGTCCCAAGTGCACACAAGTATTAACTCCTTTTGTGTTTTGTTTAAACAACTGGCTGGGGTGCCTAGGATCATTTTCCAGTCTTGCATTTAAGGAAACTAATACTATGGCTGTTCTGCAGATGAAGATACTCGCTCCAGAAGCCCAGGACATCAAAAGAGCCAGAATCAAGGCAGTGTGGCTCCAAGGCCTGTGCTGAACAAACACCCCGATGCTTCTATTCCGTCAGATGCCACTGCTATCACATTTTAGTGCACTTATTTTATTTTATTTTTTTGGTACTGGGGATTGAACTCGGGTCCTTGTGCTTGCGAGGCAGGCAGCAGAACCACTGAGCTAAATCCCCGGCCCTAGTGCATTTATTTTTAATGTGAACAAAATGCGTTGTCCCTGGGGCCTGGGATTTAGCTCAGTGGTTCTGCCTTCTGCCTCGCAAGCGGAAGGACTCGAGTTCGATCCCCGATACCAAAAAGAAAAAAAAAAAATGCATTGTCCCTGTACATACTTTATGGTCTTAACAGATAGCTCATGAACATTCCCTTGTATCATAATAAATATTTCACAGCATGATTTTGAACAACTATTTTGAATTTCTCATAGGCATGTAGACAATGCGTTTAATCATTTTTTTTTTTTTTGGTGCCGGGGATCGAACTCGGGTCCTTGCGCTTGCGCAGCAGGCGACGAAACCACTGAGCTAAACCCCCGGCCCCCTGTTTAACCATTTTTTAAAACCATTTTTTAATTTTTGGAATAATTAATTTGCTTCCCATTTTCCCCTTGTAATAAAACTGCTGAGATGTACGTTCTGGAGTCTAACCCTTTTCACACACCACAATCATTTTATTTCAACCTCTAGCACTTAAAAACCCTGAGTCTGCCGTTACACCTGTCGCACAGTCGAAGGCTTTTCTTCAGCACCGCCCAGCAACGCCCTGGGTAGTTCTGCATAGCTCTAGGGCACCCACACTGGGTCAAAGAGAAAGCAGAACCATGAACGGTACTAATTTGGGATCGCCGATATATATATATTTTTTTATAGCAGGGATCGAACTCGGGACCTTTCGCTTGCGAGGCAGGCGCGGAATCACTGAGCTAAATCCCTAGCCCTCGCCGGTATCTTTGACGGGGTCTTGCATTAAAGATTCCCTAAATCTACCTGGATTTTAGGGCCAGCGGTCGGTCTGGGTGAGGGGCGCAGATCCGGATTCTCGTCCTGGGCATGATCTGACTGGCCAAGGCAGGGACGCGCGTCTGTGTCCACATGGCCCTACCCAGGAGAGCTCCCCCACCCCAATCCCGCTCCCAGGCGCCAGCAAGGCCGGACCTTTCGGGCGTCCCGGCTAAGTTTCCGTGAGCGCTTTTAGGAAAGCACCAACCGGAAGTGTCCGTGTTTTGGCGGAAGGAGGCGATTGCCGGGAGCAGCTGGTACAGAGAGGAGCTTGGCTAGCAAAGATGATTCAGGCGATTTTGGTTTTCAACAACCACGGGAAGCCGCGGCTGGTCCGCTTCTACCAGCGTTTCGTGAGTGCGGTCCGGTTTCGCCACGCCTCATCAAGGCACCCGTGTCCTCTTCCCTCCCCCCTGGCCCTTGGCTCCTCGGCATCCGCGGGCACAACTTGCTGACGACCTCGGGCTCTGACGGGGGCCGGCCCCAAGCCTCTCTGTCAAGACCCCCGCCCTTCTCTGACCGCTTTTTTTTGGTACCAGGGATTGAACTCGGGACCTTGTTCTCTGACCGCTTTCTGAACCCCTCCTTTTCTGTATCCCTACGTCTCAGGCAGCCAGATAAAGCGACAGTGGGGAGTGTGCCTGAGAATCTGAATGTTTGAAGTCATTTTCTTTAATCTTTTTGATTGACCGCAGTTTCCCAAAGAGAAAGTCAACTTCTTAAAGGTTTTTTGTTTTTGTTTTTGCCAGGGAGTCTGAAAAAGTTCTCTCTCGGAATTATTTTGTTTCAGGGTTGCCTGGGACACCCCCCGCCCCGGGCGGGGGGAGCGGATACTTTGCATTCTATAGGTCTGAAGACAATCACTTGAAAATTGGGGAAAACAATGAGAAATTATAAATGCTACCACGCTTGGGCTTATTCAATGTTCATGTCAAGTTGAATTTTCCGAAAACATTGTTAGGGGAAAACACATCATTATTTGCCTGTTTTTTTTGGTTTGTTTTGGTACCAGGAGTCAAATTCAAGACCTTGCACTTTCGAGGCAGGCATGGAGGCAGAGTCATGTTTGTAGTTTAGGCTGGCCCTGAACTCAACTGTGTAGCCCAAGCCGACCTCCAACTCGTGGCTGTCCTCCTGCCTCAGCCTTTTGAGTGCTGGGATTACAGGCGTGTGCCACCACACTTGCTCATCCGTGTTTTATTTCTTGGTGGCTAGGTTTTGGAATATTTAACTGGGGACTGGATGAAACCGAAGAGGGGATAAAGTTAGCAAATTTACCTTTTCTACTCTTGTGTCTATTGGCAGATTAATAAAGCATTCTGGGAGGCCGAAGCAGGAGGATTGTAAATTCCAGCTTGAGCAATTTAGCAAGACCCAGTCTCAAAGAAAAAAAATCTCTTTCAGACTTGATTCCCCTTTTGTCAAACAGATGCGAAAGTAACTTACTTAGGATTTTGAAAGCTTAGGTGTATTTTTTAGTAGATTAGACTAAAGTTTAGAAAAAATGAACATTCAGTATAACAATTCAGTCATTTGTGTGAAAATGTCCCCATGTTTTTCTAACAGGGTTATTGAGATATAATTCATATATCACATATTTCATCTATTAGAAGTGTAAGATTGAGTGCCATCCATCACAATCAATTTTATTTTATTTTTACTTATTTTGGTTTTTTGAGACAGGGTCTTGCCATGTAGCCCAGGCTGGCCTTATACTCATGGCAGTCCTCCTGTCTCAGCCTCCTGAATGCTGGGATTACAGGTGTGTGTCAAATCTTGAACACTGGAGAGTATTGAAAGATGAGGAGTTGTTACAATAACTGAAGCATGTAAGCAATTGGTAGTTTGTCGCCACCCCTCCCCCCTGGCCCCAGTGCTGGAAATTTAACTCAGGGCCTTCACACTGAGCTGTATCATTTTTTTTTTTTTGGAGACAGGGCTTTTTTGTTGAACTAGAAATCAGTTGGCCTTACATTTCATACCACTTCCCCACTGTTGCTTCCACTTCCCTGCTAGAGTCAGATAAAAGACTTTAGTTCAGAAGATGTTTTTGTCATTTTTAAAAAGTCCTGGTGCTTAGCATGTTTTGTATTTCTGAGCATACAGAATTAATGTTTTACAACATCCTGACATCTGTGAGCTTTGTGTGTTCTTTAGATGGAAGCCAGGAAAACATTGATTTATTAACTCAAATTTATAGTGACCAAGATTAGCAATTTTGATACACTTTTTTTGTTGTTGTTTTGGTACCGGGGATTGAACTCGGGTCCTTGTGCTTGCGAGGCAGGCGCTGGAACCACTGAGCTAAATCCCCAGCCCTAATTTTGATACTCTTAAGTGAAATAAATAGGACATGCATGTGTAAATACCGAATAGTTTCTCTAGTGTGAGAAACAAAGTGTAAATTAAGGACCAAAAGATATAATAGATAATGTGAAATAGGAAGAAAAGGGGCAAAGGGGAAGGGGAAGTGGGAGGAGTAGGGGAAAGGAAAAAAGGGAATGGAATTAATATGAGAAAATGAAAAAATGGAAACAAAGTCTTTGTAAATAGAGAGGGATGGAGGGGTTGAAGGGAGAGCAGGGGAAGGGGGAAAAATAAGAAGCAAGAGAGATTATGTAAAGGTGCAAATTTCCAATGATGAATGTCATTATATTGTATACCTAAAATGTACCAATAAAATAAAATTTAAAAAAAAAGATTAGCAATTTTGCACTCATCCATTCAGTAAATAGCCATACCATAGCCATGTTGAATCAACATAATTTCCCCACAGTGACATGGTGGGGTTTTTTTTGTTGTTTTGTTTTTTGAGACAGTGTCAGGGCGGGGATTAGCTCAGTGGTCGCACTGCCCGCCTGACAAGCCCAAGATCCTGAGTTCAATCACTGGTACCAAAAAACAGTCCCCCAAAACCTGCAACTTTTGAGACAGTGTCTTGCTGTGTAGTTCAGGCTGGCCTTGAACTCGCTGTGTAGTCCAGACTGACCTCAAACTCAGTGGTGATCCTCCTGCCTCAGCCTTACAAGTACTGGGATTGGAGGCATGTACCACCACTCCCAGTTCCATGTTTTTGTTTTGTTTTTAATATTTGATAGCTTTTAAATAACTAGCCATTTCAAACCTAAATTCAGTGCTGTATTACATGGATGTATTTTATGACTCTCAGGGCAAGTCCTGTCATAGTCGTAATGTTTTCTTGTGGTTTACAACTCAATGTGTGAACCCCACACCAGCAACATTGGTGTCACCTGAGCTTGTTAGAACTGCAGTCTCAGGACCTAATTCAGACCTACTAAATAGTCTGCATTTAACCAGCTCTCCCAGCTGACTCCTTCCTTGTATATTAAGATTGAAGATGACTGCTTTAGAGCTTTTACTTTGTCTTACTGTTTCTCCTTTCTATTGTCCATTTTTACTGTACTTAAGAAATTTCGATGAATAAGTGGAAATCATATGGAAGTTAGCAAGTGAATCCTTTATAGTCGAGCTTTCTCAATGTGTAGGAGTTGAATGGTAGATGAAAAAAAATCATTTGTAACTGTTCAAAATTCTCATCTGTAAATAGAATATTTTCTATCTTTTTTCAGTAATACTTTGTTGGTGTATTCTTTTGGTACTGGGGATCGAACTTGGGTCGTTGTGCTTGCAAGGCAGGCAGTGGAACCACTGAGCTAAATCCCCAGCCCTGATTTATTTTTTTTTTTTCTTGGTACCGGGGATTGAACTTGGGTCCTTGTGCTTGCGCAGCAGGCAACGAAACCACTGAGCTAAATCCCTGGCCCTTGTTGGTGTATTCTTATAAGCATCTTATAAGTAGCAGCTATATTACCAGTACAGATTTGGCAAATTTAGTTTTTGTGTGTGTGTTATTGGGGATTGAAACCAGGGCCTTGCACATGCTAGGCAAGTGCTGTATTACTGAGCCTCCTCCCTTGAGTTTACTTTTTTTTTTGGTACCGGGGATCGAACTCAGGTCCTTGCACTTGGGGGCCAGGTGGCCGAACCACTGAGCTAAATCCCCGGCCCGTGAGTTTACTTTTTGGAAACATGTACATGATTACATCTTGGTCTTTTAAAGTGTTAGAACCACTGAGATTTATTTATTAGGCAAAGATGTTTTCCAGGGGGAGACAAAACACTTCAGAATCGGCTGGTCTAGTTTTTCTTAGACTTTTCGTGGGAGTTTATTAATTCTTCCTTCCTGGCTTAAATATCATTTTACCCGGTTTAAGCATCAGTTTAGGGCTGGGGATTTAGCTCAGTGGTTCTGCCATGTGCCTTGCAAGCAAAAGGTCCTGAGTTTGATCCCTGGTGCCCCTCTCCCCCCAAAATTGGACATGAAATAAAATGATTATATTAAAAAAAAATTGGGGCCGGGGATTTAGCTCAGTGGTTCTGCCATGTGCCTTGCAAGCAAAAGGTCCCGAGTTTGATCCCTGGTGCCCCTCTCCCCCCAAAATTGGACATGAAATAAAATGATTATATTAAAAAAAAATTGGGGCCAGGGATTTAGCTCAGTGGTTTCGCCACCTGCTTCGCAAGTGCAAGGTCCTGAGTTCGGTCCCTGGTAGCAAAAATTAATTAATTAAATAAATAAACATCAGTTTGCTTGCTGGGCATGGTAGTGTACACCCATAATCCTGGCACTTGGGAGGCTGAGGCAGAAGGATCACTGTGATTTTGAGGCCAGCCTGGGCTCCATAATGAGTTCAAGACCAGCCTGAACTACATAGTAAGACCCTGTCTCAAAAACAAACTAACTGAATAAATATCAGTTTTCTATAGCTTAGTAATGGTTAGTGACTAAGATATCTCGGTAAATATACTCTTTTAATTCCTATAAAAGAGCCTTGTCCTCCCATAGGATCGCTTTTTTTTTTTTAATCTCATCTTTTTTGTTTTGTTTTGTTTTTTGAGATCAGCTCCTGCTATGTTGCCCATGCTGGTCTTCAACTCCCAGACTCAAGTGATTCCTCCCTCACCCCAACCCTCTCTGCGCCACCATACCTGGCCTGCTGCTCACCACCATTATCTTTCTGGAAACTAGCACTAAATGTTCAGATTGCTCTGGGCTTGGAAGCCCTTCTCTCCCTGTCTGTCCTCATCAATGGAACATAGTTTTTCAGACTTTCCCACTAATTTGCTTTTCTGTTGTTCCATAGCCAGAAGAAATCCAACAGCAGATCGTCCGAGAGACTTTCCATCTAGTACTTAAGCGAGATGACAACATTTGTAATTTCTTAGAGGGAGGAAGGTAATCTGTCAGCTTCATTTTCTCCCCATCCGTGTACTTGGGGTAGTCTTCATCCTTGTGGCTACTTCTGACATAATCAAATATTGGGGTCCTGATGCAACCTGAGCTACTCTTAGTGGGAGCTGTGCAGGGAAAGACCCATTCCTCTTTGGGGAGCAGCTCATTATTGTGCTTTAGCTGTCACTCATTTAGATGTCTGGTCCCAGGGAGGATAGGCAGGAGAAAAGGTGAGGTAGAGAGGTTCGGATACCTCCGCCAAACTTGCCCATCACCTGGTTCACATGGCCTTCTTCTAGCACTTAGCCATCCCCTTTTTTATGGTGATTGAACCCAAGGCCTCTAGCATGCTAGGCAAGTACTTTACCACTGGGCTACATTCCCAGTCCTTTTTAAGTTTTATTTTGAGACGGGGCATTACCGAGTAGCCCACTCTTGCCTCAAACTTGTGATCCTCCTGCCTATGCCTCCCGAGTAGTTAAGATTACAAGCATGGGCCACCATGCCCAGTAGGGTTCCCCTTTTCTTTTGGGTCCTTTCCCATGAGTTGGCACAGTATTTCTCATTGATTTGTTTAAGACACAGGCATTTAAATGTTTCCTGTCTTCCACAGTTTGATTGGTGGCTCAGACTACAAACTGATTTACCGGCACTATGCTACCCTATACTTTGTATTTTGTGTGGATTCATCAGAGAGTGAACTTGGGATCTTGGACCTCATCCAGGTACGTGTGGACAGCACTAAGGAGGGCAGGAACGTAGAGAGCTTGCAGGGGCTTTTGAGTTAAGCACCTTGCACTTTCTCATACCTGTCTCCTTACTGATATTGGTAAAAGTTGCCAAATGTCCACCAGATGGCACTCTGGGGAAGCACTCAAGCAGCCCTCAGAGACTCAGAGCATTTATTGGTTTCTATCCTTGTGCAGCATTTAGTTTTCATGTTTTTGAATTTTCTTTCAGCCATCAAACCAAACGACATTTTTGGGTATTTTTTGGTACCAGGGATTGAACTCGGGTCCTTGTGCTTACGCAGCAGGTGGCGAAACCACTGAGCTAAATCCCCGGCCCCCAAACGACATTTAAACATTTATATTTTTGACTTATAGCCAGTGGTAAAGAAACTTAATACTTTAACTTGCAATTGAACATAAGTTTTGTGAGGTTTTTTGACAATGAGAAGTTGCTTAGAGATTATGTGCTTTCCTTTCATAGAAACTGAGGTGTGGGGTGGGCTGGAGTGCAGCATGTGCAAAGCCCCTGGTTTAGTCACCAGCACTGAGACAACTTTATAATTTAGTGAACATTTATTAATTATTTTGTGTGCGTAGGATTTGAGAAGATCACATAAGTAGAAATGTAAAAATAATAGACTAAGAGGTTTGATCTTTGGAAAGACAAGAAAAAAAGTGAAAATAGAAGGAAAAAAATGGGAACAAAGCTTCTGTACATAGGGAGGGGAGAGGCTTAAAGGGGAGAATGGGATAAAATAAAATAAAATTTGTTTTAAAAAATAAATGATTGGCTTAATCTCCATGAAGGACATAAAAGAAATATAAAACATTGCTTTTAGGTGATACACAGTTATGAAAAGTTAGAAAATGTAGTAAGATAAGGAGCTCATTTACAATAGAAAAAGATTCTATAAGATAATCCAGAAATAGATATAAAAACTCTATAAGATTCCTGTGGGTGGACCAACCTTCCATTGTCTTTCTGCAAGTGGACTACCCTTTTCCCAAGACCCGTGACAGAACTTTGTCTAGATTCACATATTCCACAGATTTCTATTGCCAAAAACACATAAATATTTGTGACTTCAAATAGTAGCATGTCTCTCTCGAGGGCCTTCACTCTATTTCTTTGAGTGTAGACTATTAAATCCCTGCCAGATAAAGCCCTTCCTGTGCCTCAAAAAAAAAACTGTATGGCCCGGGATTTAGCTCAGTGGTGCCACCGCCTGCCTCGAAAGCACAAGGTCCCGAGTTCAATCCCTGGTTCCAAAAAAAACCCCCAAAACTGTAAGAAGGCTGGGCAGTTAGCTCAATGGCACCATACCTGCCTCCCGAGCGCAAGGTCCTGAGTTGGATCCCCAGTAGCGGGGGGGGGGGGAACGACCCCCAAAAAACTGTTAAGAGCTATATAAAGATTTAAAACTCAGCTAAATACAAAATAGAGCAAAATAAATGAAGCTGTTTGTTTCCTGTTGAGAAGACATTAAAATGTCAGTGCTTCATGATAGTGAAAACCCAATCAGAATCCTAGTAAAATTACTATTTTTTAAAAGTTATTTTTGTAAAATGCAATGCCTGTATCATTTAAAGAATGGCAGTAAAATAAACACCTGTTATCCATCACCTAGAACATTACTAGTACCTTAGAAGCCACCTGCACACCCCTCCTCACACATCTCTTCCTTCGTTGGCCTCTTCAGACTGGGGTTGATCATTTCTTTGCTTCTCTCTATGGTTTTATGAGGTGATCAGAATCCCTAGGTGATATTTTGCTTGTTTTGGAAAAACTAAATGTGGAGCACAAACTTAGCTCTAGGAGGAAAGCGCAGTTTTTGTTACCTATACATAGTTACATATGTGTCCAGTCCTGCTTTATCAGAAATTTTACCTATTCTAAGATGCACCTTTTGCCACACTTTAATAACTCTAAAATCAGGATGTGATTATGTGATATTTTATGATTAATTGATAGCATTTCTTCTCTGTTAGCACATAAAATAGTGGTTTGCCTTATAGTAAGTGAAAAAGCAATTATTTGTGTATTTTGAATATAGTAGTAGCTCAGTGCTAGGGTATCCTCAACATGCCCGAGGCACTGAATTCAATCCTTAGCACACATGAGAAAAGAACTTATTTGTTTCTGAGCTATTACAGTAAATGTAAATCATCTATTTTTGCCTCCACTTGTTGAAGAAACTTTAATGCATAATTAATTAACTTTCAAGTGAAATCCAAACTCCCTATCAAAGTTGGCAAGTCCTGACGTGGACCGGCTCCTTGGTCTCTATTTGACCTCGCTGTACACCCTCCTCTTCAGTAACACTCTAGCCCTCATGCTGCTCTTCAAACTCAAGCACATTTTCACCTCAGTATTTCATATTTGTTCTGTCCAAGTATTTGCCAATCTGATAGATAAAAAAGTATAAATCAGCCAGGTATGGTGGTACAGGGCTATAGGCAGGAAGGCTGAGGCAGGAAGATAGCAAGTTCAAACCCCATCTGGATAACTTCAGTGACTTAGTGAATCTCTGTCTCAAAAATATTTAAAAGGAAATAGGGGCTGGAGATGTAAAGGACCTGGGTTCAATCCCCAGTAACACACCAAAAAAAGAAAAGAAAAAAAAAGTGGAAATTCATTTTTTTTCCAAGAGCTTCCATGAAAAGAAAAAAAAGGGCCAGGGATATAGCTCAGTGGCACCGCTTCTTCCTGGCAAGTGCAAGGTCCTGATGCAAGATCCTGAGTTCAATTCCCTGTATGGGGCAGGGGTGGGGGACATGGGGACAGGATGGGGACCACATGACACACCTTTCTTAAATACTGATGAGGTTGCATATCTTTGTCTTTACTGGCCATTGGTATTTGGTAATGTCTGCCCACAGCATTAGCCCACTTGCTTATGTCTCATTTCTCCTAATTTATGGATCTGAGTCCTTTCGTTATATTTATTGCAAATACTTTCTCCTCACCCACTGGTTTTGTAACTTCATGTATTTGAATCTGCCAGTCCTTTTCCTTATAGCTTCCAAGGTATAACAGTGCTCTCTGAGCCCACTGTGGTGGCTTGCACCTGTAATCCCAGCACTTTGGGAGGATGAAGTGGGAAAATCACAAGCCCAGCCCTGGCAATTTAGCAACTTAGTGAGACCCTATCTCAAAGTAAAATACAAAAAGAACTGGAGATGTAGCTCGGTATGAATGCCTTGGGTACAATGCCCAGTACCACACACAAAAAATGTTCTCCAGTAGTTTTGTCATTGTGTTTTTTTGGAGAAGATTATTTGTATTATCATCACCCAGATTTTTTGTTCTAAATTATGTTCTAGTGGCCAGATCTGTTTGTTTCTTTTTCCCTTTTCTTTCTTTCTTTTTTTTTTGCAGGCCAGATCTCCCAAAGAATATCTATGTAACATTTCTTTCATCTTTCAGGAGATGAAAATAACTGTACGAGGTTAAGTACAAAGGCAGGCACAAAAGAGTAGATCAAAAATCCACATACACTTGTCACTGGTTATCTGCTGTGAGGATTGATTCCACTTGTATAAAATGGTGTAGTATTTGTGTATAGCCTACAACATTCTCACCTATACTTTAAATCACCTCCAGAGTGTTTCTGATACTTGATTTCTCGGTACTTCTTTTTTTTGTACCGGGGATTGAACTTGGGTCCTTGTGCTTGCACAACGGTACTTCTTACTGCTTCAAAGTTTTGTGACTTACTTCAGCAGCTGAGCTCCATCCAGCTTCATCCTCACTCTTAGTGACATTCATTTCCTGCACATGAGATGTTAGTCTTTGCTTTCAAAATTCAGTTATTCTTATGTTTTAGCAGGCTGGGCTCTACTCTGTATTTCTTGCTTTTCAAAGGTTTTTCCTCCTTTGCTATTGTTCAGCGATTTCATTGGATTCAGCAATTTCAGGGCTGGGCTGTGATAGCCAGGTATGGCTGTCCTGGTCCCTGCCAGAGCTGCAGGTCTGATGCTACCATGGGAGCTGCCACAGCTGTTGAGTGGTTGGTTACCTGGCTCCTGATGCCAACAGGGAGGCAGGATTGGGAACACAGTCTCCAGTGGCTATAGCCTTCCTTGTTTTTGGATTTCACCCATTTCTTTTTCTTGCTGTTATGATACCTTACTCTTTCTAACCTCTTAGCTGATGCTTCTTATGCATGCATTTCTGACTCTGAGGGGAGGCAGCCTAGAAACCCAGCTCAAACTTTGGCTAAATCTTCTTCATTTTTCAGTACTTTCTCTCGACTTCTGCTCCTTGTACTTCCTACTTGTGTGTGTAGGCCTGTGAGTTTATCTTGAGGAGGCGTGGAATCTGATCTGCAGTTTTCTTTCCCTGTTCCTAGCTCATGACTCTTCCTTACTTTGCTTCTGGACTAGGGCTTGTTCTCCTCCCTGTTTCTCCTGTCTTTTCTCAGACCCATAACTCAAGTGACTTCTGATTCTTGATGGTTTTCTATTCACCTGTGTCTGTGTTTACCATTCTCACAAATTTAATTTCTCTCCCCTTTTATCACCAGGATATTCTTTGTTGTGTGTTTCTCAAACAAGTGTTTTTTAAAGACTACTTTTTGTCTTTTGAGACAGGATCTCACTATGTAGTCTAAGTTGGCTTTGAACTCACTGTCAGGCTGGCCTTGAATTTTTGATCCTTCTCCTTCAGCCTCCAGAGTGCTGGGATTTCAGGTGTGTCACGGTAACCAGCAAGAGGATTTATTTATTTATTTTTTATTTTTGTACCGGGGATCAAACTCAGGACCTTGTGTTTGCGAGGTAGACACAGTGCCGCTGAGCTAAATTCCCGGCTGAGGATTTATTTTTGATCATACTTTCTCACCTTATTATGAAATAGTCTTACTGTTTTCCTGTCTTGAGTCTGCTGTGTCCTCAGTGCAGGCTTTTCGCCTATTAGCACAAACTTTGCCTCAGCCAGCCTGTGTTTTCTTCCTCCTTTTCTCTTGACCTTGATGGTGATCTTGAACAACAGT